TCCAGAACTACCATTTCTTGATTATTTGATGGCAAAAACACCCTAATGTATATATACCGTTCTGTACGGAGTACAGTAAATAAAACGAATTGATATACATATACTCTCTGGTTTTTTATGTATTTCAAACCCTGAAAGTTTGAAATCGGTTGAAGATACGTACGCGGACACACACACACACACAGACAAAACTATTATCCCAGAATAATTGGTGGAGACGCCAAAGAAAATTTTCAAATAGCCATAACTCATGAACGGATGGTCCGATTTCGACGTTCTTGGGCTTGTTGAAAAGGTCTCGACGAGTAGCTTCAGAAAATGTTTTAAGGTGGACGGGCCGCGTTTAAGTCCGGTAAATGGGAAAAACATTGAATTGTCTATCATTTTCAAGTGGCTATTTCTATGGAGACGGTTGGTCGATTTCCAAGTTTGAATGCATTTTCTGGACCAATGAGCCAGGAGATTTCTAGAGATACTTCATTCATACCAGATGGCTTCTTAGAAAAAGTTCGAAATTGCGTGTATATATAGGCGAGTTCGACTTTCAGCACTAGGGTGCTTTCGTCACTCGCGCCTGCTATCGCCGGCTGTGATGATCAGAATAAATACTAAAACGACAAAAAATATTGATGTTTTTAAGCATATGATAAAATGGATCTAGAAAATCTCCAAGAAACTCACTTCCAAGCATTTCCCCAGTTATTAGACATTTCGACAAAAAAAATTACTGTCCACGGGCCAGTAACAGACGCACACTAATATTCTGAAATTGAGCAATAGTAGAGCGCCTGTGTCAAACAGCGGACAATTCCATGCGCTGTCAACTTTTCATATTTGTCAATGACATGAAGTTGGCAGCGTATGAATTTGACATTCAGAGCTCTACTGTTGTCTCATATGAAAGTCGTCTCAATTTTTTTTATTTAATTGAAAATTTGAGTTATAAAAATGAAAAAAAGAAACAAAATACCAAAGAAAAACATTTTCCAACATTTTTTGTTTGTTGTAACTAATCAAGTTCCACAAATATTTTTTCCGGAAAAATTTACCAGTGCAGCCTGTTAGTTTGGTTATGTTTAGCGGTATTGAATGGCATCAAATGGCATTGATCGACATTTCACATTGTAATTTAATTGGAGTACAATTAGTATTTTGAAGAATCTATTTTTGGCATAAATGCCTTTTACACGTCATTCTGTCATAATTTAACTGCAATGTAAAATGTCGGAGAATGTCATTCGATTCCATTCAACACCGCTTAACGTAACCAAACTAACAGGCTGCACCGGCTAATTTTCCCGAGAAAAAAAATAGTTTGGATCTCCATGAATGAATCTCTTGCAATTTTTTTATTGTTACAATCGATTTTATTCTCCAAAAATGTTCTGTAGAACTAATCAAGTTCCACAAACATTTTTTCCCGGCAAATTTGTTTGGTGCAGCATGTTAATTTCATATCGAAATTAGAATCAATGGTTGTCGAACCGATTGCTGTCAAATGGAACGATTACAACACAAATGCCAAATCCGTATATTGCATCAATGCTTAAAAGTTAGTGATTTGAATGTTTTTTTCTATTTTCCGAATACAAATTAAAAGTTTACCAACCCCAAAAAATAGGATTAAATAAGATCGAGTATAAAAAAGCCATTTCAACAATATAAACTAAATTTTTTTTTCTTCTATCATTTTTGGCGATTTTCAACGAATCTTACCAAAAATCAATATTGATTTTAATTTGTTGTTAATTAAATGTTCTATTTGAATTTATTCTTTAATATTTTCTGTAAGTTTTGTTTTAAATAACATTCTGTAAGGCTGAACATCTCAAATGAGTAAATATTTGTTTGTTACTTAAATTGCGTACGTCTGAAAAAGTCTCAAAACTTTCCGAACACGTCTTATTCGTATCACACATTCATATATAGTATATTATATTGTAAATTGTGGTAATGAACAAATAATTTTTGTACACATAGCTTCGAGCAAAAGTGAAAATTGAGGGTGAAAAACACAAACACAACAAAGAGACCGAAAGGGAGAAAGAATCGTCTGATTCCGATGAATCCAGTAGCAGTGAAAGCAGTTTTCCAAAGTTTGCAGCCACCACTCGTTTGACGTTGTCGGAACGATTTGGTAAAATGGCACAATGGAGTGTAGATCGGAGCAATATGGAGAACATGCGTATCACAAAGTCGTCAGGGGGTGCACTGAAAGTAATGATAGAAGAAGGAATTGAATCACCCCAAGCGGGTCAACGGCGTTACAGCTATTCTCCAGCACCTCAGGGTCATTTTCCTGAGGAACTAGCAACGACTGCACCAACTGGTTTAATGTCTTGGGATGATGTACGCGTTCGATACGAATACTATAAAAGCCGTGGCTACTTACGTGACTTAGATCTAAAGGTAAATTAGCTAATCTTAACTCAATAAATCCATAGTAACAACCATACAAATTATTTCGATAGGATTACGTTAAATGGGAGGATTGGTGGTACAAGTACCAGTCGTGGTTGAAGCAAGAGGTAATTAGGTTCAAATTAAAATGAAATAATTTCAGCGGTAATTAAATCATCTGATTTTTAAATTATTTATCATTTGAAAATTCAGCGGTATTACGAATTCTATGAAAGGCAGCAGATGAGTCGGAGGCGTCGGAAAAAGATACCCATAACACAAAGACTGAATTAAAACGCCAAACTCAAATTTGAACCTAATGTTAATTGGCGAACGAGTACTGATACTTTATGTGCTTTACGGAAGCAAAATGTAGCAAACTACAACTTTTAAAACTGGAAATGCTAAAATATTATGTGAATAGTTTTTAAATTGTGGTTGTGACAGACACAAAATTATCTCCTTTTTCCGACATTTCTTTAATTGACTATGATTTGGTTTGATTCAAATGATTAGAACAGGACTCGAGAAGATCTAATTTTTGTATATAAACGTATGAATGTTTTTTTAAACTCACACACAATACTTATGTCTCAAGACGAAATTATTTTCATTGTGGCGGTGCGCAATTAAAATGATCCAATTTCCAATAATTCAAAAAATTTATGAATAAAAAAAAATTAACAACCGAGCAAAACCATAAAATATTGAAATAAAATTGTGGCTCATGAAAAGAATGCGTAAATTTTTTGGGTTGCAGTAATTTCATGTTAAAAGTTCAAATAAAATGGTCTTTAATTTGCAAACAACTTGTTTTATTTCCATTTGATCGCAATTTTCAACTTTATTAGTTCCGAATGGGGTAATTGAACTGAAAAAACATCTCAATGACAATTTTAGGCTCATCAAACAGGATTGAGATAAGTCTACATCGATTTCTCGTCCAAAATTACGTGGTAATAGACTCATACTAGGCCACCATAGGTGATTTTTCTATGCCATAAGTGTGATTTTGTATGCGGATTTTGACCATTCGCTTGTTTTATGGAGAACAGTCGATTTCAGACCAAATTTATAGGTGAACCGATGTTCAAATGGTCATATTTTCATGTATTTTAACGAAAAAATAGCAGTTTTTGGAGTCAAAAACATCGTAGCAGGTCATTTTCGGCCATTTTTTCCACAAAAACGCTGAAAAATAAGATATGATCTACTTTCCGAGGCCAAACACAAAAAATTGAATGGTAAATATACGGAATTTTAATTTTTTATCTGAAGCGGCGCGACATGGGCTATATTTTGACGCGAAAAAAACATACCAACAAATCGCCACCTTTTTGAGACATTTCACATTTTATACTTTGAACCCATTTTTGAAGGCCCCAATGGGGTCAAAGTGGACTTTGCGATTTTTATAGCCACATCAATTCCCTTTCCAACGGTACCAGTGGTTTGGCAATGTGTCAACTACTTCTTAATTAGATTTTAGTTGCCGCAAACCCTTTTTTTCGATTTTTTAAATTTTTCGCAAAATTTACACTAGGTGAACTCAGAAATGTGGGCCACTTACAGGCCTCATATTTTGGTTTTCGCATTTTCTACCGAAATCAAGACTCCATGCAAATTTTCAGCTAATTCGGTGAGGGTCGATCCAATTCTTGTTCGATTTCGTGTGGAATGGTCGTATTGTATTTGTCATTTTGCAATTTTTCTTTAAAACGTCAACAGCGCCATCTAGATCTTCGTAAGATTTGTACGTTATGAATGGCGTTGTGATGTAACGAAGATATAGGAACCTCGTTTACACGACAATTTTCATACATATTTAAGTGTTTTAAAAAAATGTTACACTTAAAGTAAGAATAATTCTATTTCAATAATTAACCGTGTGAAAAATTTGTGACTGACTAGCCAGCCGCCTAATTTCGGACTTTTTGGCTGACTATCACTAGCTAAAAGTGATTATCTCGAACAAAATATTCGACTGCAGTCATCTAGTAGCCAAAAAGTCCGAAATTAGACGACTGGCTGAAAGAATAACTAAAAACGATTGTTTCTATACAACATTTTTGAATTCAATCAACTTAGCCAATTTAGTTATTTGCAGCTACATACAACTGAGTGACTGTCAGTCACTTTATTTGCACACGGGTATGGAAACAACAATGCACAGTTAAAATAAGGACGTTTGGAAATTGAGAGGTCATTAACGCTAAAATATAAGCATATCGCTGTAACTAGATTTAAGTAAACGATTAAATGCAAAAAAAGGACGATGCTGGCGAAGCAATTGCTTCGGGCGGCATTTCGATGAGTCGAAGAAGCAAACCACATTATCAACAGAATGTTGTCAACATTTTTCCTGAACTCTTGAAAATGTATCCACAAGTGCTGGTAATAGCAAATCAGAAGAGTATTTGCGATAATTTTCACTCTTGTTCGGATTTTCGAGAACTGATTGAATTTCGAGATCCTGGACACCTCACAAATTAACATTTTGTACCAATTTTGTCTGAAAATTCAATTGTTGCTTTGCATTTCCTGGAACCCTATAACCTTTTTGGTTTTTATTTTTGAATTTTACTTTTCCACACGAAGAAAAGTATTGGGATCGCCTCGATTTTTTGACCCCCTTAAAATCAGTTTTTTTTCGATTTTCGAGCTCTGAAAATCGCGAAATCTAGCATAATTTTAAGGTCGTAGGGTTTGTGCGTGGTACTCTGTACGCTGTAAGCTGTACGCAAAAAATGAGAATAGCGTTCACCCCAGATTTTTTGTTCTTTTAAAAAGCAGTTTTTTTCGATTTTTAAACACCGAAAATCGCGAATTTTAGCGTTATTCATGGTATGTAGGGTAGGCGCGTGTTACACTATACGCTGTACGCAAAAAACACGGTAAGAATTTTACTATGTCACAATGTATGAAAAACAGAGTATTGAAATCGCTTTGATATTAAGGTCTGATTAAAATATGATTCTTTCCTAATTTCAATGCATGGAGAATTGGATTTAATTGGAAATTATATGTTTGGGAGTGTAGAAAAGTTAACCTTACGAATGTAAGGCATCTTGTTTTCTTCTGTCCTCCCAAATATATTAGCCAACTCAACCTAGTTGTTATCCCCTTTTTTTATTCAAAATTTCTGTACCGACCGATGGCACAAACAAAGGGTCACTTGAGGGGCAATAACTCGCTCCCACTGGTCCAACTACCATGAAATTTTGAGACAAAATCGGTAGTAGGGAGTACCATTCTAACACCATTCAATTTAAATAGGTGGCGCCACAAGAAAATGTCATACTAAAAAAGTTCGGGAACTTTTGAGACACACCTTGTATTTGCGAAAATTATTTGATTTTGTTATGTCTTTGGTCTCTAGTTGAGACTGAAACTTCGAGAATTTTCATTGCTTTTCACGATTCAAAATGAATTATATGTATACCAAAAGGTATCAGATAAAATTTGTTAGTGTCGGTTCAAATGTCGATCAATATGTCAAAAATGCCAGTTTTGGCGTCATGACTATATATATACAGTAGGTATGCTATTTTCTCAGGACACTATTTGATTCCCAGCATCTAAGTCCTATTCCCAGTAGTTTGATCCTGGTTTTTCATGAAAGTATCGATTTGGATGTACGTTTGTGTGTCCGGAAACTTGTTTAACCCCCACGGATTACGGTGCCGATATGCCCAAGTTGTAGCTCATGTCGGGGCGCATTGAAATCCCTCTTTAAACTGAGATTTGCATTACAGGAGCATTTGCTATAGCTCCGCAAACCTGCATGTATACGATTTTTTGAAGTATTTATTTCGCACACTAGATCAACTCAAACGCCCATCGGGTGAGGTCAGCTCGTTATCATTTGAGAAGACCTTTAAAAAACTCCATACTTACATGCCAATGTTTATGTGATATAAAAGAAAGAAGTCGATTTTTATGAAAAATCGATCCATTTAAATTTCAAAACAAACGCGATTTCTCAAAAATCCGCCCAACCGATTCCAACCAAAAAGTAGGCGTTTATAGGCGGCAACCGTACCAACCAAATAGCATATACCACATATCCGGAAAGATTCTTATTTCGAAGTTCTGGGCATCGGCGATTCATCAATGAACGGAATTCGTACGAAGAGTCGCATTCTACGATGAAAATGCAATATCGCGTCGCGACTTTTAGACGGCAAAACGCTTAAAAACTTGATCTAAAATGAAGAGTCATGACGCGATATTGTTCCTTATTGTGAGTAAATTTTCACAATAGTGAATCCGAAAGAAACTTTTGAACTTCGTATCCAGTGATAATACAGCGTCCTAGCGTCACTCAAAATGATATCAGTCTTTTTGAGTGGTAAATCCACACACGGAGCGTCACTCCATTTCAACCTCGTCTAGAGGTTTTCCTTCTGATAATTTTTAATATATCAAAAATTAAAATAGTCATGATCATGACTTTCCGATACACTCACGCATTCAATGAGTCATATCAATTTTGATTTTTTGACTCGACTGACTCATTGCCTCTAAAATGGAGTCAGAATATAATTCGTTTCTTATAACTCATGAAGAGCCGGTCATATCAAGTTCGACTCACTTTGGGCAAATGAATAACTTCAATTATGGCTCATATTGTGACTCACTTCATGACTCAATTGTAAAACAGTTTTTCACTTTTCCGACCAGGAGTCATTGAGCTACATTCATACGAAAAAAAATCGATTTCATGTACTTGCCATGGGAATATACCAAAAATCTACTTTTTCAAGAATGTCGACGATTAGTGCTCAACCACCAGACAAGATTTTTGAAATCTGGAAATGGCATCTGCCAGCACTATTCGAGCACTAATTTCAACATATTGTGGTTTACCAGCACTAATCCCGGGGCTAATGAAATGGACCTACCTAAATTTTGTTGCACTGTGATATCGATTTTCATACATTTTTTCCAATTTTTGTCGAATTTGTGCTCATCGCTGGATGCAGCACGAATTGTGTAGTCGATGGCGCAAATTAGAGGACGTCAAGACCTTTTATTATCAGCCCTTAGATCCTGAAAATGTTGAAAATTTCATTCGGAATTGATTGTCGGCGCAAAACCTTCAAATCTCCAACAAGTCGATTCCGGTTTTACCCCCATCTAGGATTTGAAAATCGAGACCCCCATCGAGCGATTTTGATTTTTTTTACACTGGATAGAATCGATTTTGAGAAGTGAGGACCTTTTTTCTTTTTTTCAGGTCTTCACTTTTTTTTGACATCCATTGTCAAAATTTTTAGACCCCCATCTGCCAAAAAAAATTTACCCCCTTCTAGGATTTTTCACCTTATAGTGGTTAATTTCAAAATGTGGTAAACGCCGGAGGAGAGTTCTATTTCAATGTGCTTTATTGAGTCGATTTCGAATGAGACTGAGTGGATGCGCATGGCATTGCGACTAATTTGGCTAATGCCGCAATTAGTCGCAATGTGAGCGCATGTATAGTCGGAGAGTACATGCATATGTGTATGATAAATACATAGGTGCATGCGCTCTCCGGCTATATTCCTTCCACCCGAAAAAGTTCAGAATTACATGAAAAAAACTTAACCTATATATTATAAATTATATTCATTTTTTGTATTTTCTAGTGTTTTTGTTTGATTTCTGAACTAATTACTATTTTGCTTTAGCTAATTTTTCAATCATCTTCGAGGTTACTCCAACCCATGTGTTTACATTGAACATCTTTTTGTATAAAAGAATGATTACAGCAATTAAAAGGATTATTGTTGTTGTTATTGAAATGATACATGAGTAAATAATGTGTAAAAATGTGGTTTCGGTTTCTTCGACCAATTCAAGTAGTAGTAAATTTACCAAGGAGAAAATCACTCAAAAGTAATACCAAATAGAAAAGTAATACCTCAGTTATTTCTAGTAATACCTCTGGTATTACTTTTGATATTTCTATGAAAAAAGTAATACCGAAAAAAAGTAATATCCAAGTAATGCCAAGTAATACTGATCAATGAAAGTAATACACCTGGTATTACTTTTGATTTGTACGGAAAGTAATACCAAGTAATACCATTTATGTAAAAGTAATACCTAAGAGTGATTTGCCCCTCGAAATTTACCCATGTCTCTGATATTAACTTTCCCATTTCTTCGTTATTCATAATTACATACAGTTTTGTCTGTTTTCTTAAATATATCGAACTGTGTTTGTTTAATGGTGGTTCAAAAATATGCATTTTTCCAATTGTATTATATTCTGTTGATATGAAATTTACATTTACATCATTATTATTTTCCTTTTTAAACGTATGGGTTTCTATTATTGTGGAACAATTGTGTTTCAAGAATAAAATTGTTGATCGGTCGAATTGAAATATTTCGGTTTGATTCGGGCAAATTTCAAACACTTTCAATGTGTCTCTCAATTTTAAATGGAGTACATTTTCTGATATCCTGATTATGTAATTTGAATTGAGAATGTATTTTAGATTACAATTTTCAGTAAATTCATTTAATGTTTCGTTTATAATGGATTTCAAACACATACTACTTTGTGTTCTATTTGTATTGTGTCGCATGACTAAATTTATATTACTTATTCGTTTTATTTCGGACCTGGTAGTCACATAACTGTCGTTTTGGTATTTTAACAATACAAATTCATTTTCTAAAACCAGAATCATGGTTTTTTCATTTTTTTAGGTTGGGCATAATCCTGAACGTATTTTCGGTAATAACCACACATCCCCAAGAAGCTCTGTATTGCCTTCAGTGTCTTTGGAATTGGGTAATTTACTATTGCTGCAACATTTCTCGGATTCGGTGACATTCCATGCTCCGAAACAATGTGACCTAAATATTCAAACTTCCTAACGTAAAACTTACACTTCGATATTTTCAACTGGATCGAAAATTTCCTCAACCTTTCCAAGACCTCTCCCAAAAGTTTATCTTTTTTCCCCTGCGTTGGTGCGTATATCAGTACATCATCCAAATAGACATAAATTCCATGTCCAATTAGATCACTCAAAATAATGTTGATTGTGTATTGCCAGGTCTGAGCTGATGTTCCCAGTCACATCGGCATTCTACACCATCTGTATTGATATTTTCCAGCTGTGAAGGCGGTTAAATCTCTTGAATTCACGTCCATAACGATTTGGTAATACGCGCCCTTAATATCCAATGTAGTGAAAATTTTTGCTCCATGCAAACTGTTCAGAACGTCGTCAATCAGAGGGATAGGAAAATGATTGATTTCAGTAACTGCGTTCAGCTTTTTGTTATCACACACTAATCTTTGTTCGATTACGTCGGGAATTATATGGACTTTGACATTTTTCAATTATGCCCTGTCTCTCTAAATCTGCAATCATTTTATCCAATGTTTCCCTCATTTTTTGCAGAATTCTAAACTGTTTCACCTTAATTGGGCTTGTTCCCGGCAACAATTTGATTTTATGTTGTGTGACATTCGTGGAACTTAAGGTATCCCCGTGGATGTAAAATTGAAATTGATACTCGTTGCATAATTGAGCCAATATCTGTTTTTCTTGAATTGTGCAGTGCTTCAAATTGAGTTTTATAAAAATTATCGATTATCGAGATGATGAAAACTGCGAACTGCCTTCCAGGGTGGTTCGCAGCCGTCTTTGTTATCAAAAGAGTCGGGAAATTTGACATAAAATTCAAAATACAAATAAAAAAAATAGATCGATTATCGAGATGATGAAAACTGCGAACTGCCTTTTTATTATAGTGGTTAATATCAAAATGTGGTAAACGCCGGAGGAGAGTTCTATTTCAATGTGCTTTATTGAGTCGAGTTCGAATGAGACTGAGTGGATGCGCATGGCATTGCGACTAATTAGGCTAATGCCGCAATTAGTCGCAATGTGAGCGCATGTATAGTCGGAGAGTACATGCATATGTGTATGATAAATACATAGGTGCATGCGCTCTCCGGCTATAACCTTGCACACGTCTGATCACCAGTTGCAGCACAAATTCTAGGGAGCGATCACTAATCAGCCCAAATTGCGTAAAACGATAGCGGGTTCAGGTTTTATTTTTGGGACCTGGGGGGGGCTGGCGTCACGGAGCTTAACTATAGTTGTTATTTATCGCTTTAACAGCTTTGTGGTATAGAAGTATATAAAAGGGTCTGTTTTTTGTATGAGACCAATTGCAGAAGAAAGGATTAGGAAAAACATAAAAGAAAATATTAGGAAAAAAGTGGAAACGAAACTAGAAACGATGATGAAATTTTTTACATTTAATCCATTTTATTTATTCAATTGATGAATATAATATTTCTTGTATATATTGAAAGTTTGCCTTTTGAATCTTGCTACATAAAGTTCCAAACTTATAAATAGCTAATTTTAGGTTCTGTTTCAAATTCTGCAAACGCACAAATACTTGCGTATATTTCCATTAAATTGTTTCTAAGCATAGATTGCTGACGCTAACCAATTCTTGTGTTAATCTTCTAGTTGATTGAAGGTTCTTGAAACTGTCTATTTATTTGAGGGAGGATATCAACTTCACTTGCAATTGAACCAGTTTGAGATAACGGTATGTGATTTGCAAACGGTGTATAATTTCCTTCTGTTTCGTAGGCTGGTGGATCAATCTCTATGTTTCCAGCAGTTGATTGCATAAATTGATTCTCGTTTATGTTGTTCGGAACCATTTGACTTCCTGTCATCGCTTGGTAATATGGTGGTGGAGGCTGTTGCTTCATACCTTGGATTGCTTCTTCATAGTCGGGCAAGAGGTCCTTGTTATATTTGTCTATTGTTAGTACACTTCATCGAATTTTCGAAATAAAATTTACCTACCTGACGTACGACATTATCTGGGATAATGTATGGTAACATTGATTGAATATTATGTTGTCGCATCGTTAAATATTTGTAGCAACGCCAAACAATTCCAATGGCATATGCCTTGAGCAGAACAACTGTTAGAAAAACTTTAAAAATAAAATTGAAATAAATACGGTATAGCTAGGTTTATCAATATCATTGAACGACAAAATCATTAAAAAGTATATTTTATAAAGAAACTAAAGGACCATGTCCTGTTTTGTATGGGATTGGGGCCATATGGCGTTCATCAATGGTAGCGGTAACAATGAATAAAGCGCAGCAAGTTCAACAATAATACCCGGGAAAACCCATACCCGGCATTTCTAAACATAGGTACATGATTTTTTGCTCTTTTGAAAGCTATTGCTCTCTACTACACTACCCGATAAAGAAACGATGAAAACATTTTGGGTAAAGGGGTTTGAATTACCCCAAGCGCAAAAAGTAGAAGGAATATGTGTGAAAAAAAGCGAGTTATCAAATGGTACATGGCAAGGATATCGTTTTGCATCATAAATCAAAAGATCAACAACTAGTTTTGCCGTTAACTCAAACAAAATGATGTTAGAAGGTGCAAAAAATGTCCCTTCGCTAAAGGTTCTCACAAGTCAGATGGTCAGAAAAGAACGGAACGATAGGAACTACGTCTGTGAAATAAAAGTAAGGAATCGATTTCATTCGCGATATGACGTCCCATACATTGTTTTTTTTTTAAATAATAATTTTATCAAACTACAATTTAGAGTATTTATGATAATCTCACCAAACAAAACGACAACGCCAAGTAAGTGTGGACTCAATTTAAGTAGTTCTTCTCGCCATGGCAAACGGTGACTTTCATCTATTATGCTATGTATTGATCTCAAGAAGCACAAATATCCAGCTGCAGTTAAACTTTATTTCCATTGCGTTATATTGTTGGAAAAATGTTGAAAAAATGATGAAAAATAGCTCAGGTATTTAACACATCAGTTATTTAAAAGTAAATCAACACAAATAATTACGTCGTAATAGCAAAGTCAAAAAGTTGCAAGCAAAAGAACGGCAGCAAGTGAGATGGCTTATACTTTACAGCTCCAAAAATAAGCATCAGTGATATCGCAATCATGCAAATGCATACAAATCCACCCAAATCAACGTTTTCTAGAAAAGTAAAAAAAGAAAGTGATCGACTTGGATTCGATGTAATTGTAAAGAACGTAACGTACGATAATTTAGAGAGTGATCCCGATAAGCGTATGGCGGGTCAATCTTACTCAAGGGAGTTGGCAGTGCTTCTAATCGACCAAAATCGTCATAACCGCTTTCCAATTCTTGCATCATTGCTGGATTTCGGATAATTGTCGCCAAGATTCCAAGTGTCAACATATTCAAAAGCTGTGGATGAGTGAAAACACAAACAAGAAATATAAAACAACAAACTACAACAAGGCATCTGCCATTCCTGGGTAGATTGCATTTGATTGTGCTCTTAATAAGATCCTCTTATCATCAAGTTATTCAAACCATCCTCGCTGGCATAACGTCCATTCTTCATGTGAAAGGTAAAATTCGATGACGAGCATTACATGCAACAATCGAATCAAATAATATTGGTACACAAGTAATAAGATGCAATCCAAAAAAAAAATCGAAATGTCCTCATTTTTTCGAGGGAAAAATCAATAAAAATGAAATTTAAATTGGATAAAATGATTATTCGTCATCATTTATTTGTCATTAGATTCATTTCATCCTTCATTTTAAAATAAATGTTGGAAAAGTCCTCTTTTTTTCGTTTCGAAAAAAATGTCCTCGTTTTCGTCGAGGAAAATCTGTGCATATTAGAGATAGAGGTTTGGTTTGGTGTCTTCGGCAAAGTTGTAGTATTCGAGGTCCTACATAATTTTGCTGAAGACAGTTGTCTCTTATCAGATGGGCGCAAATCAAAAACTACGGCCTATTGCATGTTTTTCTCTCATCAAACTTCGCGATTTTCGCAAAACTGATAAGAGATAAGTGATAACTGTCTGAAGCAAAGTTTTGAAGGGCCTTGAGCACCATAAATTTGCCGAGGACGCTAAGTTGTTATCTTATCAGTTCCGCGAAAAACCGCAACCGTACATCGAAATTCATGGGTTCCAAACCAATAACTTCCAATATGATTAATATATTTCATTCAATAACTATACTCTAGACTATACTAATAAGATACCATCTTATTACTCGTTCGACCAACTGGATTTACAATGTGTAATAGAGTGGAGTGATTTTGGTAATTTTTCGAATTTCGATGCATACACTTGGGAAAAGTTGCGTCATCGAGCCCTGATTCCAATGCAAGTCACAAAAATGTACTTTCACCTTCATATAGTTTAGCGTTTTGAATGGGCGTGGTGACCATTTTTTCCTACTTTTTCTAACTGAAGTAAAATTGGTAAATCAAAATTAAATATCAACATTTAAGCCATGAAATAGCTTCTTTATCTCAATTTATGCATTAACTATCCATCTTCACCGCACTTCGCTGCGGTGGGCCATCATTTGATACTAAGTTCGTTCGGAACAAAAAAGGTGAAAAAATACTGGAAATTATTGTGCATCGATTTCTTGTGAGACAGTAAATGATGGGGGAGGCCTATGTGGCTTTGATAGATCTCGTCAAGGGAAATAACTTTTGTTTTGGCCCTTTGGTCCTTTGGTCCTTTGGTCCTTTGGTCCTTTGGTCCTTTGGTCCTTTGGTCCAATTTCGAACAATTTTATTTTGTTTGTCCATTTATGAATTTAGGATGGACGGACGGACATTTCGAACGGACATATCCGTTTGACTCCTTCATGATATTTTGTATAAAACAATATCAGAAATGAATTCTCCGCCGAAAAATAAGTGATAATGGCTTATCAGATGATTCAAAAATTGAATTTTCGGGCGGTATTCGGACGAAAAAAATCCTAAACGGACGAACAAAATTAAATTGTCCGTCCTTAACCCATTTTCTACCAGCGTTCGATTTTTCGAACAAAGGCCATCCTTATTTATATCTCGACCTAGAGATAGGCAAGAATAACAGACATATACTCAAAAAGCAAGTGTTGAACATTATTTTTCAAAATGTGTAAGTCCTCTGGGCCTATGTTCAGGAGGTACTTAGGGAAGCCCAGGGTGGATTTGGGGATAATAAAGAATCCCGGGCTAATGACCAATGTTCGAAAAATCGAAAAAAAAAATTCCGGGGCATTTCTGGAAAACTACAAGACGAATTTTCCATCTGACATTTTTTTTCATTTTTTCATGCCAAAATAACTCTAAATAGACTTATAGTTAATACTTTTAAATAAAGCATAACGGTTTTTGATTGATCAGTTTGTGAGCCTACAAAAATATGGTTTTCCGGAAAATCCATTTTCCGGAAAAACTGCAAACAAAAATTTTCCATATGGCAGTTTTTTCGGAGTTTCCAGGGGAAAATTTTGCTAGATAGACTATTGGTTACTCATTTCGACCCCTTTTTTGCACCTTGGTAGAAAATGGGTTAAATCTCAAACGGACGGACGGACAAAATCCGTCCTTTTGACACCCCAACATTTTTAAGCATAAATATCAGGTATCTAAATTACGTCATGCAGTAATTCTTATAAACTTTAAATCGAACCGATGATAGATAAATTATTAAATTGTGAGAACCTGTGTGATACATATTTGCAAGCGAAGTGAGAAAACGAAGAAGTTTCTTTATGACAGGATTTTAACACAACGGTGTTGGCTTATTGCTTTCGAGATTTTGATATGAGACAAGAGTGATGAAAATTTATTGTTTTTTCTTTCAAAAATCTCTGATCATTTTGCCAAAACAAAAGTAGTTTACCGTGACTAGAAGCTTGAAAAATTGATATTTTGTTCATTTTCCATAACAAAAGTGTCATTTTTGGACACAATTTTATGGAAAAGTAGGTGTTTGATTGTTCAAAGACCCTCGTTATTTTCACAGAAGAATATAAGTTTGCTTTGGACTAAACCCTGAAAAATGGGTTTTTCAAGCACTTTCCACACAAATGTACCATTTTACAATCGTTTTCAGGTCCCTAGTCCGAGGCTAATGGTACAAAACTGGTAAGTCAGAATGGGCTCAAAAACAATCCGAAGCTTCCTCTCAACATGCCAAAACGTTCAGCTTTTACAGATCTCAATTATCTTGTAAACTTGTTGAGATATCCGGCGAACGAAGAACGTGAACGCGGACGGCGCCATACATTGTGATTTTACACATTTTTCATAGTAAACGAAGTATTTTTTGGGGTAAATAAGTTTTGATCGATAGAATTTGTACCCATTTACATTGCCTAGTATACAGATATGAGCTATAAGCAGTTTGACGCGATTTATTAGTGGTCCGTGTGAGAAGATGTCATCAAATTTTGAGGAGTAAAACCAATACATTTCCCTACAAACAATGTGGAAAAGTAGAACTGAATTGCGTCAATTTTCTCACTCGTGAATTTTTCTTCACAAAAGCTTTCGTTCGTTTTGCTTGCGAACTATGCTCCCCCTGGAAATGTCGCCCTAGGCAAATGCCTCGTGTGCCTCGTACTTCACACGTTGCTGGATATGGGAATTTCAAACCAAAATCCATTCGAATTTGTATTTTAAGACACTTAGATGAGAACTCTTGGAAGATATATAAAATATTCTAAAAATCTATTTTTGATTGTCACTTATTGCGCGTATACATCTATACATACCAAGTGCCACACTCCAATAAAAATTGTGATTGTGCGAACATGAAATCCAAAACAACAGGTCCATTCCTTATTTCGTGCAGGTCCCATTTTTAAACGAATTATTTGCATTTCAAGAAACTGTGAAATAAATCAAAGCATGATTTATCAGGGCAAAATAAATATACAAGTATGTGAATGAGCATTTAATGTTGTATTAACTAAAAATTTATATGTAACATGCATATGTTGATATGCTCCAGTTTCAGGTATTTTTGAGTCGACCATTCATCATAAACATCAGTGAACTGAATTTGTAAACATTCCATGTTCGCGACTAATAATAAGATGTGTTTTTGTTTTTCATTCTAAAATGAACTGATTCCAAGCTAATTTCATTGGATAAAACCAATCGAAAGCATGTTCTATCCAAGCACAGACACAAGACAGAATAATGAGTAAATTAATTGATTGGTCAAATAACAAAAAATGTTCGTCAATATTCTTTAATTTATATGTTGTTTTTATTGTGACTTTCTTGAATATTAAATTTATTAATACCCACGATAAAATGACTGATGTTTCATTGGATTTTACTTTAGTTTTTGATTTTATTTGGGATAAATTTGATTCACTAGTAGATTTTCCAGAGACAATATGACTGACAATTTGGCATCATCAACAAATTCAGCCATGTTGACCTGTCAAATGCTATTGAACTAAGGCTGCTATGTCAATACGTAATGTATACACAAAATAACAAAATTAAAGCAACAATTTTCGGCAGATATACTGTTGAAAATTTAAAAAAAACTGTCATATTCACGAACAATTCATTGACATACATTTAACAATTTACCTAAAGAAACCAATTTATTTTATCTCAATATGCACTAGAAGAAAACTACGAAAAAAACATTACGTATTATCGAACCCTGAATCATTGACCGCACAGTTTTTTACTACTACAAGTCATAATGCATAGGGTGTACTAAACAAATGCAACACCAAATCTCAGTAAAAAATGAGTCTGCTAAGTCCCAACACAACATGTTGTATGAAATGAATTTGGTCAAATCATTTGAAACAAAATCACCTAATATGAAACCAATACACAAATTCAAATTCATTGTTTACAGTTCGGTTGACACATAGTAGTTGGAATAGTTGTTATTTCGAACGGTCGAATTTGACAGATGCTGGGTAGCGTTCCGCAACCACATATCGCGTACAACTTTACACTGGTTGAATTTTAAAGCAACAAAATATATTTTGACATATGTTCAATGTCCTTTCATGAAATTTTATTGTTATTAAAGAAACTCGTGCATGGATAAGCTATTGAACAAAACAAATTTCTGATAGCGCGAACCTATTGGATAAAATTCGGAGAGTTGACTGAAAATTGGAAAATTCTACATTTTGCAATTGATATTATTTTAATATAATAGCATACTTTCACGAACATTGCCGTTTCAAATTTGTTTTTTAAGGAAAAAATCAAATTCCCGCAGTAAAAAAATTTCGTTATCGGGTTTTAAACTTTTCGAAGTTCCATAAATCATGGTTTTAACGCGAGAATACCGAATTTGTATGCCATTAACCGTCAATGAGGTCAGATTTTGAATGTGGACTCGCACGTTCCGTAATATGATTAAGTGTAAGTTTACCTACTTTACTTGAAATTCTATTTCCACTCTAATTTTAGTATCGAATTGGACAATTGTATATGATTGCACGGCATAGCAATGAACAATCAGGAGATGGTGAAGGAGTTGAGGTGATTGAAAATCGTGATTGTGAAGATGTTGAACATGGAAAGGGCCAATATACAGAGAAGCGTATACATTTATCAACGTAAGTTCTAATTCATCATATATATTTGATTATCCTAACATCATGCGAGATGATGTGATATAACATTTTCAGTCAGTTACCGTATTGGCTACAGGCAGTGTGTCCAAAAGTGTTCTATGTGATTGAAAAATCTTGGAACTACTACCCTTATACAATCACAGGTATGAACAAATTTTAGTTGTGCTTCACAGTTGCTCTCAATAATGAACTTAATTTTCTCTTCTCCACAAACATAAACGCATGTAACTGAAAACTGCAGAATATACTGTATGTAATTGCATCGATAAATGCTACTCTTTTCTAATACCCTACAGACTTTTAATTTTTGTCGTATTTCAGTGTTCATTCATACCAAAGTTCCACATATCGATACAATCTAAGTACGAGAATGACAATGGATCAATTGAAAATGTAATATAGATTCTAACTAATTCCTTGGCGAGACCTCATTCATACTTGCTACTCAATTTTCAGTGCTTAAATCTTCCACCAGAGGTTCTTGCTGAGCGTACCGTGGATGAAATCGACATTGCCTTCGATGAACTGACCAAACACTATAAGCGGAAAGAAGATCCAAAATTCTTTCAATCTATTAAAACGAAAAGAGGCCCACTTATTGAGGGTTGGCGCGATGATAAGCCGGTTATGTGTTCCTACAAAGTTGTACATGCTTCATTCGAAGTTTGGGGACTTCAAACACGTGTTGAGGATTACATACACCGTTGCATTCGGGAAATACTACTCTTAGGTCATAGACAAGCATTCACCTGGATCGATGAATGGATAGAATTGTCAATGGATGATGTCCGGGAGTATGAACGTCATTTACAAGAAGAAACAAATAAAAAATTGCTGATAAAACAAAGTGGCTCAATACTTAGTTCTGAAACAGTGCTACTTTCTAACTCAGAGAAAGATAGCCCCGAGAAAGGAATTCAAATCGATGAAACCACCGATTAGTAAAAATTCAATTTTGAATTTGAGGTAGATCCAAATATTTGTTGATGAAAATAAAAGCGATATTACAGAACGTACCAAGAAATATGTTTTAACAGAAATGTAGTATGAATCGCTCAACGTAAACGTAACATGGGTTTAAATGTAGTCCATTTTACGTTTCCATCGAACGACGATTCATGTCAAACTTTTGCGAAAAAACAGTTTGGTCTTTATCCAATAAACCTTCAAAAAACCAGAAAGATCTTTTTTTCCCTAGAATGGAGTATATTTTAGCCTATATTGATATATTTTATTACATCGCCAAGCGCTGGCTGTATCATTTTCATTTTTGCAGGAAAAATGAATCCATGTGGTTTCATGGAAAAACCTGATCTTTTATACATGTAAGATTTACAAGGCGTTTGATTTCGTTTTTGTGGGGTAGCGGACATAAGTTCCCAACCGGACCAACCGCACATTAAGTTTCCACGGACCAAACTTATGGACCATGGGCCAAACTCACCGACCGACTGTTAAATCTCACGGACTGACGGACCGGACTCACTAATTCGTTTTCGCGGACTCGTTTATCACTGTCACGGATCATGGTCGCTGCAGCGGATCAATGTGAATTATTATCTCCATAAAAATTAACTTGTGTTTCTTTCGTTTTCACGAACCATCTATCGAATCATTCAACCAATGTTGGACAAAAACTTATCGATGTGTTCCGAACCGGTGCATCATATAGTAAAGTTTGAGGGAGTGAATGAGACTAGAAAAACCCCAAAAGGGTTTTGTTGAATTGGCTCCTTATAATAAATTTCTGATCAGTTGAAATTTAACATGCATTTTAATTGAATTTTAAAAATTGATCTCGTCACCTTTTGACTATACATAACCCAAATTGAAACTAAAAAACAGGTCGATGTCGTTGGCCCCACCCCAATTTGGTGCTGGGTCGTCCTATATACCAAAATTTAGTGCTAATTTAGTGCTGTCGATTGGTACCTAGCATGATTTTAGTGCTGCCCTCTATGCGAATATTTTTGATTTTGAAAAAACTGACCATGTCGTTTTGGCCACTTTGTATGGGATTTTCTCGAAAGCTTGACATTATCGATTTCTCGTATACCCTACAATTTAGTGCTATTTTAGTGCTGCCAAA